TCAATTTCAACCCTATATTCTTCTATAAAATAATTATACACGAATTTCAAAAAACTTTTCCTTACTTTTTAACCACACATTTTAAAAAAAAATTACTATTCCATAATTCATTTTATCCCAAAAATGGGAATCAAATAGGGGCTTAATATCATATCTATAATATCAGAGCCCAATCAAGTTCAAGTAGACAATTTGATCCAATTAAGATTCAAATGAACGCACGAATTTCAAGATTTGCATGCTCAAACGAACAACCATCTTTCACCATATACACAATATATAGAAGTTTGAATTATTTATCTTAATAAAGTCGACATTTTAAGATATAATTACAAATATAATAATTTTTATTATTTTTTATTTTTGATAATGACACTTTTTATGTGAGATGACTAATCTTCGTTAACATCGAAGTGTCTTTTTTACCTAGTGTTAATGAATAAAGATGTTACCTTTTGTTAATATTCAAACGAGATTAGTGGGTTGTACTATAAATGATTATGCAGTCAAATCTATATAAAGATAAAGGATATACTTGTTCAGAGTTAGATTAGTCTATAGAGTCTAGATTATTCCTCACTCTTCAAGAAAGAAGGAAAACAAGAATTAAAAAAATTGAGAAAGAACGCCAACTTAAATAATTCATAAAAATAAGAAAGCACGAAAAACACTTGGAAATTATATTGACCACGCAAAATAGTTTCGTGGAAAAATGATCAAAATCTTAAATTTATTACTTGTACATAAAGAATATATATAATGGATTACATAATATAATATGGAAGGAAAAGCTTTGACAAAAAAGTTGATTGTATTTTAAATTGGCAAAAGACATAATACCTTATGTCATTATGTAATCCATTATGTAAATTTTTATGTACATGTAACAAGATCGATCAGTGAAATGAGAAAGATCTTCTATAAAAAAAGAGTCATGTCAAACAAACTTTATTCAATTTATAGACAATACAATTTTCTGAAATTCGTTTTCAATTTTATTCAATTCAATCTTTGCAATGAAACGTAAGCTTATTGAATTTGAGAAGGCATAAATAAAAACCTTAAAGAAAATGACATTTGAAGCAGTATTGAAACACTAGTGACCCACGCGTGGCAAATTGCACGTGGAGTCCTTTTAAAATGCCAAAACGTCGCCGTCTATACAGCTGGCACACCCCACATTTGATCGTCTAATGCACAGACCACACTTTATCACTGCACCTCCGTCCAACATATCATCACCATATCTAGGGTTAAGAAAATGGGAAATACCATTAATACAATGTTTTCTTACAACATTGTTGATAATGATGAAAGGCGCTAAAAAAGTGTGGAATGAAAAAATAAATTATTTTTTAAAATGTCCAATGACAACGTTTAACATGCCATGTTGTCAATAATGTTATCAAAAACATTGTATACCAAATATGATTCTAAAAAATTCAAATGGTCATTGTATTTGACACACTATTTTTCATTGAGAAAATGTCAAACGAACATAATGTTTGACACAAAGGATGACACCACACTCACGACCAAGGCATGGGTCCCGAGCGAATAAAATAATGCCGATCCCCCCATATGTGTGCTATGTCAACTATTGTGTCAACCTTTATGTTCGTGTAGCACAACCCTTTTCATTGACCATTTAACTTTTAAAAAAAATTTAAACGATGGTTACCAACTTATCAAATTGTTATGCTATTGGCCGTTAAACTAATAAAAAATAAAAAATATAGATATCGGATGGTCGTCAAATTTATGAAATTGTTATCCTCTATATCATTAATTTTTATAAGTCTTTCAAATAGTCATTGAACTTGTCAAATTGATACTCCATCCATCACTCTATCACTCATTATTAAAAAATTTGACGAACTCACTGACGTAACGTATGAAAAAATTAACATGGCACATTATTAATATTATTTTCCTATGGACTTTACCCTTTAATCGTATTTTAATAAGCATATTTTTTACTGATTTGTCGTCAACTAAGCCAATAATGGCCATGTCAACAATTTTCGTTTAACAGGTCAATGAGTCCATCGAATTTTTTAACGATAAGTTATTGAGTGATGAATGTGATAACAATTTGATAGGTTTGGTGATCATCTAATTTTTTTTTTTTTTTTTTTTTAAGGTTAATGAGTATTGAGATAAGAATTGATGAGCTCGATAATATCTAAAAAAATTTTAAAGTTTAATGATCGATACGGTAATAATTTGATAAGTTCCATGACCATCCGAAAAAATTTCAATAGAAAACATTATGTAAAGTTGAATGGCCGTTTGAATTTTCAACACTCATACTTGGATAAATGTTTGAAAACTTGCACAGTTTGCCACTAACTTGTAAAACTTAGAATATTAATTCGTAACCTTTCACTACAATTATACAATCGATTCTCAATATTGAAAATGGTCTAAACTTTTGTTACATTGTCAAGTGATCTCTGCATGTTTGAAGTATTATTATTTCCATATGGAGACCTGATAATTCAGCACATATTTAAATGATTTATATCATTTAATCTGATAACACAATTATAAGGAAATTTTGGCGATTAACTTGCTTCTCCTTAAAGGTTGGTTCGTTTGCCATTGAAAAATCCAATACTACAATTTTTTCTGAATGTTTTCACTGCATGAATGAAAAAATACGAGTTTGAAAATTAATTTAAATTTGATGTAAAATTGAATTTTTCTTCTTCTCACGAATAATAGAAAGCACGCATCTATAAATGTTCAAACACATTTATTAGTTAATTTGAAACTACTTTCATTTGTCATATGTATAACGATAACTCTTTATATTATGATGAAGATGGTTATATTGATAATGAGAGAGATCTGTTATTCAAAATTGACTATCCAATTTGCTGTTATCCAATAATTCACTAATACATGATTTTATATCTATTTTTAAGCACAAGTAATAGTGAGAAAAAAATGGACATGTTAATTTAAAGTAATATGTCAATGAATTGTTAAATGTACAGCAAGTTGAACAGTCAATTTTGGACCGTGGATCTCAACTCATTGACAACACAACTTTTACTTTTTCACTAAATTTTAATTGCATTCAATGTCCTCAAACTTTTCTTATTGTCTCCCTTATGTTCTTAACTTTTTTCATCGAATTATTACCTTCAAATTTCCATTAGTTAATATATCTCATTGTTGATAACAATATCTGTCAAAATATTTCATTCTGCATGCTTTGAAAATAGGGAAAAAACTGGTTTGTCGCACTTTTATATTTCTTGTTATTAAAATATGATTGGAAAGTAAATCTTTTTATGCTGTCCAAACTAGATATATTAATTAATTGAAGGTTGGAAATAAAAATAGTTAAGAATATAAATAGTATAATGAGCGAACTTTGAGGACCTTGAGTACAATTAATATACAGTGCAACTTATAAAAATTAGTAAATGAATATATTTACTCTTACGATAATCATTTTACCAAATATTTGATATCTCTACATGAAATAAAACACTATTTTGTGACCATTTTCATTAACAATCTATCGAACCATTGTTTTAGGTGTTTTTTTTTTTTTTTTTTTTTTTCTTTTATTTATTTTTTTAAAGGTTATTGTAAAGTTTTTTTTTTTTTTTTTTTTTTTTTTACCTTTAATTAATTTATTAAAGTGATTTTTAAAATCTTGACACGGGCATATTAGTCTTTTGATTGTGAAACGGACAACATTTACTGCTGCCAAGCCGCCAATCATTGCTGATGGAATTTCCGGTCTAAAATTCGTTGAGAGATCCCAAAATCAATCTTTTATATATCACCATCTTCCGTGTTCTTATCATTTCCAGTTCTCACAGTTTCAAAAAAAAAGAACTGAAATTCTTGAATCTTCTATAACTTCTTTCTATGATTTAGCGGATTCATTTAAGAGAAAGCAGAATCAAGAGAAGAGCCATACGGGGCTCTCTGAAATGTATATGATATTCAAGCGACTGATCATAGGCGGAGAGATTGTTGAAGAAGAAGGAGAGTGGGAAAAGGAAAGATAAGAAAAACCCACCAAGATCTGTTTATCATATATCTGTTTCATTCAATCCATCAGGTAAAATTCTCTCTTGTTTTACCTTTTTGTTCCAAGATCTATATTTGGTTTTCAAACATTAATCTTCACGTATGTTTCTTTCAATGAACTGCTTTGTTTTTATTTCAATTTATTTTTCAACACGCATAAAAACCTAAACAAATTTATTTGTTTAAATTTTGTCTTGAACATTGTCTTTAAGTATATATGTTCATTAGAGAAATTTTTGGGTAACAAATGACAACTGCAGCTATGTCTGGTATTGAGATTGGTCAAAAACCAGCAACTGTAATGAAGAGAAGTGACCTTGAGTTTGCAATATGTGAGTGCTGTGGGCTGACAGAGGAGTGCACGGAGGCTTACGTGGCGTGTGTTCGAGAGCGCTACCTGGGGCGGTGGATATGCGGGCTGTGCGCAGAGGCAGTGAAGGATAAGCCGCCAATCATTGCTGATGGAATTTCCGGTCTAAAATTCGTTGAGAGATCCCAAAATCAGTCTTTTATATATCACCATCTTCCGTGTTCTTATCATTTCCAGTTCTCACAGTTTCAAAAGAAAAAAAGAACTGAAATTCTTGAATCTTCTATAACTTCTTTCTATGATTTAGCGGATTCATTTAAGAGAAAGCAGAATCAAGAGAAGAGCCATACGGGGCTCTCTGAAATGTATATGATATTCAAGCGACTGATCATAGGCGGAGAGATTGTTGAAGAAGAAGGAGAGTGGGAAAAGGAAAGATAAGAAAAACCCACCAAGATCTGTTTATCATATATCTGTTTCATTCAATCCATCAGGTAAAATTCTCTCTTGTTTTACCTTTTTGTTCCAAGATCTATATTTGGTTTTCAAACATTAATCTTCAAGTATGTTTCTTTCAATGAACTGCTTTGTTTTTATTTCAATTTATTTTTCAACACGCATAAAAACCTAAACAAATTTATTTGTTTAAATTTTGTCTTGAACATTGTCTTTAAGTATATATGTTCATTAGAGAAATTTTTAGGTAACAAATGACAACTGCAGCTATGTCTGGTATTGAGATTGGTCAAAAACCAGCAACTGTAATGAAGAGAAGTGACCTTGAGTTTGCAATATGTGAGTGCTGTGGGCTGACAGAGGAGTGCACGGAGGCTTACGTGGCGTGTGTTCGAGAGCGCTACCTGGGGCGGTGGATATGCGGGCTGTGCGCAGAGGCAGTGAAGGATGAGATTGTGAGATCAGAGAAAAGGATTGGAAATGAGGAGGCTTTAAATCAGCACACGAGTTTTTGCAGGAAATTTAAGAGTTTAAGGCCACCTAAGAATTCAACTGAGGAACTCATTTCTGCTGTCAAGAATCTGCTTCTGAGGAGCTTAGACTCGCCTCGGTCAAGCTCAGTGAGGAAGACAGGTTTGGTTCGAGCCGAAAGCTGTTGTTCTGATATTGATGATTGAGTAAGTTAGTATGTATTGATATTAGATTGTTATTGAATAAATGCTGCTTAAAAGTAGCATGAAATTGTTTGATTCTTAGAAATTTAGCATTAGATAAGAATGTTCCTTTCCCATTAATATTAGTCTGGTTAATGTAATCGATTGCTTGGTATTGACAAGAGTTGATTGAATAATAAAGTGTTTGGCAGCCAAACCCCCCTCTTTTTTATCCATTGATCGTAAGAAGTAAATGAAACCGGAGCAACCTAATTTTCGATTTCTTTAAAGATAGGGGAGAATTTTCCTTCTTTTGTATTTCTTTTTTCTTGGCTTTGATTTTGTTAGATTAATGGCAGCAGTTGAGATTGAAAGTATGATTAGTCTTTCAATTGGTCTAGTTGTTGCATAATGGAACATTTATGATTTATTTTAGACACTTCCGATTTGTGTAATTTCATTTAGAAAGAGAAAAAAACATGGAAATCACTGTTATAGAATTGCTATGTCCTAGATTTTGATTGAAACTCAAGCACTTTATTCTTGTATCTTTAGATATACGTGGAGCGTTTTGTGTCATAAGATTCGACAAATGACAATTATATGCAGCAGAATTACAAGAACAATTTGTTCTGTAGGAGGTGAATAGGGAAGAAATAGAACAGGAAATGCAGGGATTCCAATGCTTTTATTCACGAAAGTTGGAGAAAGTGACTTATGAATCTGAAGAAAATATCTGGCCTAATAGGGGCCTACCACTGAGACATAATAAAAATAGAAAATGGAAAGGAGCATTTTTTTAATATAAGTTATATTGTACATTTGATGCCTATACCTGGAGTTGGTCCCATTTTCAGTTTCACCAGTGGAAAGGGTGAAAGGGGGCCTCATTCGAATATATCTTCCAATAGAATATCCTGGAGTTTCAGAATGCCTTTGGCGCATAAAGACATTTTCCAACTGATATACTACCATTTCTTAGGTGTAGTTGGATTCTTAAATGTAAATGATTCTTGTACAAACAATTCATGAAAGAACGTGAGTTTCCATATGGCATAATTTCATGGAATATCATTACGTGAAGGATTTAAGTGAAGAAGATGAGACTGTGTTATACCCCCTCTTTTCCGTCCTCAAGTTTAGTAAGCAAACACTGGACAACTTTCGTCACTAATGTCTAATGAAATTCCCAAAGTGATACACTCAACGAAGGCTATATGCTCTTTTGCCAATCATTTATTATTACAAAATCGAGTAACTCTCGTCATTTAATTACACATCAATGGACGGAAATGTAGATACTTTTTGTTCTGTAATACTGTTCAATATTGTGCAGTCCGCCGCACCAAACACACCACAATCATTCACCTTATTCAGGTGCATGCATCTAACATCTATATCTTTGACAAGAGAAGTAGGTTGCCAAATCTAACACGCAATACTAAACCTTGGATGAAATTCCAACTTCTTTTCATTTATTAGTATTATAAAATTCACCTTATGGATACGGAACCTTGCATGCATCTAACTTGTATAATACTTTGAAGAGAGAAAGTCAGTGGGAGTTTCCTCGCACAAGCCATAGTATATTCCTTCACAAGTAGCACTGCTTAGCTGTGACTGAAAGAGAATATATCTGAAGAAAAATTAACCATAGAACAATCAGCAGCCGCCTCAAATAAAATTCTCGCAAGTCACATTCAAAGGCACTTGTGATGAAATTTCCACAGAATTAAGAAGCATTTGAAGTACAAAGAAATCTTCTCCCCAGGTTTCTGGTCCATGCTTAAGGCACGTAATGAGTTGTTTATATTTCAATATATAAAATGGATGGATCATTGACTATACTGTTGGTGGGATGGCGACAAATAGCCAGGGACGAGCCAAAAATAAATAAAAGGAGTTCGAATTTCCTTCTTGTACATCAATCTGCAATCAAGACCAAGAACTGGGTGGTGTCTATTTTTTCCGCTTCTTACCAGTAGCTTTTTCACTTTGGAGAATTCTTCATGTTTTCCATATATTGACCCTCCTCCTCCTCCTCCTCTGGAAAAATGCGCCAGGAACACCACTAAAAATGTTAGCATTTTAAAATATTTTTAAAAAAATCAAAACTGAATGCTACTTCTGTGGGCCATGATTTGTTAGAAAAGTAATAAAGCAACTTAGACAATAAATAAATTTAAAGAATATGCAGAGAATTTTATTTAGTTAATCAGCTATATTTTTCATTTTATTACTTTTTTCTTCTTTCATTTCAAGAGTACTACGGTGGCTTCGAAATGTCCAGCTTCTAATACCTTTTTATCAGGTAGCATGTAATTAAGTTTAGAATTCGTAGCACAAAGATGGGCAAAAGATTCTCACTTAAAATAATTTAAAACGTATTAACCAAAAAAAAAAAAAAAAAAAAAAAAAAAAAAAAAAAATTGTACAAATATTAAACCTAAAGGTTTGGTCGCTACAGGTAATTTTTTACCACCAAGTCCATGTCATACTGATGACCACAAGAACTTATTTTGCACATTAAGATGTCAAAAAGAAACAAAAATATAA